GAACGGAGGAGGGCAATGTCACGGGCTTCATCTAGTTGGTCCATGGCATCTTGGTGGGATGCCTCGGCTCTCTGTTCGTCGTATGCTCTGATTCTTAGTGCTCCATAGTCGAGGTCCGTCGGGAGGACGGCCTCGACACCATAGACCATGAAGAAAGGCGTGTAGCCGGTGGCCCGGCTGGGAGTTGTTCTCAGGCTCCAGAGCACTGCGAGGAGCTCGGCGACCTAGCGTGCGCCGAACTTGTTCAACCGGTTGAAGATCCTAGGCTTGAGGCCCTATAGGAGCATGCCATTTGCACGCTCGACCTGCTCGTTCGTTCGGGGGTGCGCGACGGCGGACCAATCGACCCAGATGTGTTGTTCATCGCAGAATCGAATGAACTTCCTATCGGTGAACTGTGTGCTGTTGTCTATGATGATGGAGTTTGGTACTCCAAAGCGATGGATGATGTCAAGGAAGAATAGTACGGCTTGCTCGGATTTGATCACGGAGATCGGTCGAGCTTCGATCCATTTTGTAAACATGTCTATGGTGACAAGCAGGTGGGTGAAGCCCCCGGGCGCCTTCTTGAGTGGCCCAACCAGGTCGAGCCCCCAGACCATGAAGGGCCACGTGATGGGGATCATCTAGAGTGCCTAAGCCAGGAGGTGAGTTTGCCCCAGCATAGTGCTGACACCCTTCGCATGTGCGTACGATTTGCTCGACGTTGGCTACTGCAGTGGGCTAGTAGAAGCCCTGTCGGAATGTGTTTCCAACCAAGGTCCTCGGCGCGGCATGGTGACCGTAGACCCCACAATGGATGTCGCTCAGCAGAAGTCTTCCCTGTTCGCTGGGGATACAGAGCTGAAGGATCCCAGTGTGGCTCCGTTTGTAGAGTTCGCCCTCTATAAGAACGATGGACTTGGAGTGACGTGCGAGCCGTCGAGCTTCTGTCTTGTCCGTCGGCAGTGTGTCACGGAGGAGGTAGTCGAGGTAGAGCGTTCTCCAGTCGTCCAGAGGATTGGACTCTGTTGCTGGATTCTCTTCAAGTTCCATGACCTCGGGGTCGGGCGGGGCCGTCGGCTGGTCAGCCCTCGGGGCTAGATCAGATGGGCCGTCGTCGGCCGGTTCTGACCCCTCGTAGTGCACCGAGGGCTTGTGTTGATCGCTGGCGAAGACACCTATCGGCACCGGCTCTCGGCCGGACGCTGCTTTTGCAAGTGCGTCGGCCGCCTCATTGAGGCATCTTGGGATGTGATTGAGCTCAAGGCCGTCGAATTTGTCCTCCAGCCGTTGGACTTCTTGGCAGTATGCAGGCATCTTGGCATCATGGCAGCTTGACTCCTTCATGACTTGGTTGACGACCAACTAGGAGTCACCCCGGATGTCGAGGCGTCGGATGCCCAACTCGATGGCGATGCGTAGGCCATTGATGAATGCCTCATATTCGGCCACATTATTTGGTGAGGGAAAATGTAGACGAACCATGTACCTCATGCGGACCCCATGGGGTGATATGAAGACCAGCCCTATGTCAACGCCCTTCTTCATCAGCGATCCATCGAAGTACATCGTCCAGTACTCCTGATCGACGACAGCTGGTGGCATCTGGACCTTGGTCCATTCCGCGATGAAGTCAGCCAACACCTGGGACTTGATCGCCGTTTGGGAGGCATATGTGATGCCTTGGTCCATCAGCTCGAGCGCCCACTTTGCGGTTCTTCCTGTGGCGTCCTGGCTATGGACGACCTCGCTGAGGGGGAACAACGTCACGATGGTCACTGGGTGTGACTCGAAGTAATGGCGTAGCTTCCTCTTGGTGATGAGGACGGCGTATAGGAGCTTTTGGATTTGGGAGTAATGGGTCTTGAAGTCGGATAGTACCTCACTGACGAAGTACACAGGATGCTAGACCTTAAGGGCGTGTCCCTCTTCCTCCCGCTCTACTACCAAGGCGGCACTGACCACCTATGCGGTGGCCGCTATGTATAGCAAGAGGGATTCACCGTCGCTTGGAGGAACCAGGATCAGGGGCCTTGTCAGAAGCTGCTTGACCTCATCAAGTGCCTCCTGGGCCTCGGACCTCCACTCGAAGCGGTCGGTTTTCTTCAGAAGTCGGTAAAGAGGGAGGCCTCATTGGCCGAGACATGAGATGAATCGACTGAGTGTGGCGAGGCATTCGGTGATTTGCTAGACCCCTTTATGCTCTGGATTGGGCCATCCTCGCGATGGCTGAGATTTTCTCTGGGTTGGCTTCGATGTCACGCTCGGAGAAGATGAAACTGAGCAGCATGCCCCTCGGGACCCCGAAAACACATTTTTCGGGATTGAGTCTGATGCCATTTGCTCGGAGTTTCATAAAGGTCTGCTCGAGATCGACAACTAGGTGGTCAGCCCGTTTGGACTTAACTACGATGTCATCGATGTAGGCCTCAACGGTCCGCCCGATGAGGTCTCTGAAGCATTTGAGCATACACCGCTAGTACGTAGCCCCAGCGTTCTTTAGACCGAACGACATTGTGACATAGTAGAACAATCCGAAGGGGGTGATGAAAGACTTCACAAGCTGGTCGGACTCTTTCATCACGATTTGATGGTACCCGGAGTACGCGTCAAGGAAGCAGAGGGTTTCGCACCCTGAGGTAGAGTCGACTATTTGGTCTATGCATGGCAAAGGAAACGAATCCTTTGGGCACGCCTTGTTGAGACCTGTATAATCAACACACATCCTCCATTTTCCACTCTTTTTTTGCACAAGAACGGGATTAGCTAACCACTCTAGGTGGTATACTTCCTTGATGAACCCGACGGCCGATAGTTTTGCTATCTCTTCGCCGATGGTCCTGCGCTTCTTTTCATCGAAGCAACGCAGGCGTTGCCTTACTGGCTTGGAGCTCGGGCGAATCTTCAAGGTGTGCTCGGCGACCTCCCTCAAGATGCCTGGCATATCCGAGGGTTTCCACGCAAAGATGTTTTTGTTGTCGCGGAGGAAGTCGATGAGCGCGCTTTCCTATTCGGAGGAGAGCGTGGTACCGATGCGTACCGTTTTACCCTCGGAGCCGCTGGGATCTATGAGGACCCCCTTGGAACCCTCTGCCAATTCGAACGACCCAGTGGACTTTTTGGCGTCGGGCGCTTCTTCGATGACCTCTTCCCTGAGGGTGGCGAGCTCTCCGGAGGCGACGATTGCGGTGGCGTGGCCGCAGCATTCGACTTCGCACTCGTAAGCGCGCTGGAAGGAGGTGCCGATGGTGATGACCCCGCGGGGACCCGGCATCTTCAGCTTGAGGTATGTATAGTTGGGGACGGCCATAAACTTCGCGTAACATGGACATCCTAGGATGGCGTGGAAGGTTCCGGGGAACCCCACCACGTCGAAGGTGAGGGTCTCAGTCCTGTAATTGGACTAATCCCCGAAAGTGACGGGCAGATCGATCTGTCCTAGTGGCACGGCCTGTTTGCCAGGCACGACTCCATGGAAAGGCGCTCGGATGGGGCGGAGGTTCGTCCGGTCGATGCCCATCTTGTCGAGAGTCTTGGCGTACATGATGTTGAGGCCGCTGCCTCCGTCCATCAGTACTTTCGTGAGTCGCTTTGGGACGACGATCGGGTCGACAAAAAGCGAGTACCTTCCTGGGTGTGGGACGGCATCCGGATGGTCGGTCTGGTTGAAGGTTATGGTGGATTCTAACCACCGGAGGAAGGCAGGTGTGGACGGTCCGGTCGTATAGACCTCATGGCGCGTGACCTTCTGGCGTCGTTTGGAGTCGTAGGCTGTTGATCCTCCGAAGATCATAAGGGCGTCGTTTGGCGTCGGGAAGGCGTCGTCTTTCTCCTCGGCATCGTCTGTAGTGGGGGGCGGATCCTTCCCCTACTCCCCTTTGTTGGAGCTTCCGGACAAGAATTTGCGCATGAGGCCACAATCCTTGTACAGATGCTTGGCCGGGAAAGCATAGTTTGGGCATGGCCCCTCGAGCATTTTTTCGAAGTTGTTCAGAGTGCCCTCCACGGGCTTCCGGCCACCCCTACGGTCGAATTTTTCTCATAAATACAAGTAAACCATCATTAGAACAAAATATATCTCTTTTTCCTTCGTCTCTTTTAATTTATCAATACAAGCTTGCATTGGAGATATGACATGAGCTAGCAAGATCATTTCATTCATATTGCAATGAAACATAATCAACTCATCAAATTCATTAGTGTTTTAATTGTTTTGTCAGTTAAACACCAAACCCACTAGAGAGTTTAGATGCACTTTCACTCAGTCCAAGCTTAGAATTACACTTGTTAAGGACAGAGAGAGAGCATATCTTGTATATATTGTATATATGAAACTAAAAATGGATGGACCCATATTTATCTGCCTCTTCTATTGATGGTACATTGATACCGTACGTGTATTGTTCACCTTTGAATTTGAATTTCATCTTGGGCCTCGTTTAGATTGAAAAAAATTTCAACCCGATGAATAGTAGCACTTTCGTCTTATTTGATAAATATTGTCCAATCGTGGACCAACTAAGCTCAAAAGATTCATCTCGTGATTTTCAACTAAACTGTGCAATTAGTTATTTTTTTTACCTACATTTAATGCTCCATGCAAACGGCTAAAAATTGATGTGATGGAGAGAGAGTAAAAAAACTTAGAATTTTGAGGGTATCTAAACAAGGTCTTGGTGGTTTCCAATATTTATGTGTCCATTTTAAATAAACGTATAAATAAAAAATTAAAAATATGGTCAAGGCGTCGGTGTCCACAGTTGACCTGCATCCGAAGGAAAGGAAAACGCTGCTCAACGACTGGCAGGGTGGTACCCCTTTCCCTCCCTCTCTCCCCCAGGCCTTTCCCGGCGCCAGATTCAGATCCATGCCGCACGCTTCTCCATCCCTGTAAGCTCCGCGCCTCCTCCACTCCGAATCCAGCGAGGCCACCGCCCGGGCCCCGGGGAAACGCCCTCACGCCGCCGCCGGCTCGGGCACCCTCCCGCGCGAGCGTCGCCCCGACATCAGCCGCGGACATGGCGCAGCCGCTCGTCGTGAAGAAGGACGACGACCTCGACGAGGAAGGTGCGCGCGCGCGCGCGCGTCAGCGCCCTCGTCTGTCTCGCCTCGTTCCTTCAGTTGCGCGCGCGTGCGCCTCCGGTTGTGTGTGCGCGCCCGTGTGTGCCCAGATCCGCGCTCGCAGCGCCCTAGATCTGGCGTGATCCGGCCCGGATCCCGGCAACCGTCGCCATTGCGGCTGGCTGATTGTTCGCTTGCTTGGTTGCTGCTGCAGAGTACTACTCGCCGTTCCTCGGCATCGAGAAGGGCGCCGTGCTGCAGGAGGCCCGCGTCTTCCACGACCCTCAGCTCGACGCGCGGCGATGCTGCCAGGTGCCTGTCTCTGCCCAATCGTGTTTCATCCCCTCCCCACGGGATCTCGCGATACCATCTCTCCAAGCTTGTGCGAATGTGAATTCGAATGCATTCGCGGGCTTACATAAATGACTGCGGTTTCTCATGCTTTCTGCCTGCATCTGTAGGTTATCACCAAGCTCCTGTACCTGCTCAACCAGGGTGACACCTTTACCAAGGTACAGTGGCACATCGTTGATCTTACCGTGATCATAATTTGGCTGGGTTTTTAGATTCAGATTGCCAGTACTCGTCGTATATCTAAAATTCTTGTGAAGTTTGACCATAGTTATCGTCCTCTAAAAGGAAGTTGGTACCTACAAAGTTAGGTTCAACACCTGGTACCCTGAATTACATTAGGTGAGGTGTTACTTGCTAGCTTAATGTCCAGAGAGTAGACCTTATGCATGTTTCAAACACTATAAGCACAAAGGGGATCTGAGGGTACATATATAATCACATTTGATGTAGTGCAGTTTCCTCAATACATTAGTGTGCCCATTGAGCTCTAGTCCAGGACATGTGCTATAGTTTTACATGAGTGGAAAAAAAATTGTAGGTTGAGGCTACAGAGGTCTTCTTTGCAACAACCAAGCTGTTCCAGTCTAAAGATGCGGGCCTTAGGAGGATGGTGTACCTCATGATCAAGGAACTATCGCCTTCAGCTGATGAGGTTGGTGAATATTGGTTGCTACTATGTGGTTCGCTGCTTTATGTGGAATGTGGGAATGACTTTCATTTGTGATCTATTGGGTGTAGGTCATCATAGTAACAAGCTCTTTGATGAAGGACATGAATAGCAAAACTGATATGTACCGTGCGAACGCTATTAGAGTTCTTTGTCGTATTATCGACTCAACTCTTCTCACCCAAATCGAGAGGTATTTGAAGCAAGCCATTGTTGACAAGAATCCTGTTGTTGCCAGTGCAGCCCTTGTTAGTGGCATCTACTTGCTTCAAGTACGTCCTGCAATTATATTTGGTGCTCCAGTTGGATATATTGTTACTAGTTGGTGGCAGCTTTAGATCCTTCTGATTATGTTTTCTGCATGTTTGTATTATTGGCAGACAAGTCCAGAAGTTGTAAAAAGATGGAGCAATGAAGTTCAAGAGGCTGTGCAGTCAAGAGCTGCTCTTGTGCAGTTTCATGCCCTTGCTCTTCTTCACCAAGTGAGTTCAACATATGGTGCTCCTTTTAAGTAGGATAGATAGGCATATCCATAATATCCTCACCAGCTCACCCTCGAATGTTAAAATGAATCAGACGCTTTGCAAAAACTTAATTAGTCAGCTCTTGTTTGTCTGCTACTTATGCAACATGGAGCACTTTGATAGTCTCAAGTTGTTTGTTAATGCACAAATACCTTATAATCCCATCTACCTTTCATTTCAGATTAGACAAAATGATCGGTTGGCGGTCAGCAAGCTTGTCACTAGCTTGACCAGGGGTTCAGTTCGCTCTCCTTTGGCCCAGTGCCTACTTATTCGCTACACAAGCCAGGCATGTGTTCCATATCTTCCAGATCTAATGTAGATAATCATCGGTATCTGAAATATGTGGCATCTACAGGTGATTAGAGAGTCTGGCGTGAACCAAGGTGGAGATCGTCCTTTCTTTGATTTCCTTGAGTCCTGTCTCCGGAACAAAGCAGAAATGGTCATACTTGAGGCTGCAAGAGCAATTACTGAACTGAATGGTGTCACAAGCCGTGAGCTTACACCTGCAATTACTGTGCTGCAGTTGTTCTTAAGTTCATCCAAACCTGTTCTCAGATTCGCAGCTGTTCGCACACTTAACAAGGTTGGTCTGCTGCTCTGCTTATTTCTTTACACTAGCTGTTCTTGATACTATGCTATTCTCATTTAAGTAGAACTATTGATTGTGTAGTAGTTTCCAATAAAGGATCATTGGCTTTCAAATGTCTGGGATTCTTTTTTTGTCGCAGAACTATAATAATTAATAACACAGCAATATTAGTTGCATCCTGTTCTCAATACTTATTTTGGTTTGTGATGGAGTTTGCATTTTCCATGAATGGCACCTAATAAGTTAAGGTCTAAATCTCTGGTATCTAAATAAATTTTTAACACAACATTCATTTCGTGCTTTCTTTAGATTCTCTCAGTAGCCATGTAATATAGCTGGAAGATAGGACTGCTGATCTATCATCTCCTTGATTGTTCAGTTTACATATGCTTTGTGCTTGAACAACTATTTCATTGAATTCTTGGCTCTATGTTTGTTTATACATTTTGATCCATAACAGCTGATCCTTGGGTAGGACAAAGACATTCCATCTGGTTACTGGACTGAATTCCATTTGTTTGATGCAAGATCAGACATTTCAGATATGACATCTTTTATCTAACATGTTTTGAATCTGCTATTTTTCTTTCTATTGCATATAGGGAGCAACAGATGATAAGAGTGCAACATTGAGTTATCTTTTACTTTTTGTTTGTTTGGTATCATATGCATTTTCATTATGTTGTTTGATCTGTTGTGGAAAATTCATCTCCCCTGCTGGAAAGCTGTTTTAGTGTTCTGGATTTGCTGTTGGATTAACAGTTTCCTTACTGATAGTATGGCCCAGATTGCCTGTAGTGTTCTTGTCAGAATCATTGTTGATTCCATTATATTTACTGACTGCTCATGTGAATAATTGTACAGGTTGCATCAACTCATCCTTTGGCTGTCACAAATTGTAACATAGACATGGAGAGCTTAATCTCTGATCAGAACAGGAGCATTGCAACCCTTGCGATTACAACACTGTTGAAGACAGGCAACGAGTCAAGTGTTGATCGTTTAATGAAACAGATGACCAACTTTATGTCAGACATAGCTGATGAATTCAAGATTGTTGTTGTTGAAGCAATAAGATCCCTGTGCTTGAAGTTCCCTCTGAAATATCGCTCATTGTATGTACATAGAAGCATATCTTCTTGCTCTATTATTGTTAAATATTGTAAACTACCTTTTTCATCTATAAGCCTTAATTTCCATTTATCTTTTCCAGGATGAACTTCTTGAGTAATATTCTACGGGAAGAGGGTGGATTCGAGTACAAGAAAGCCATAGTTGACTCAATTATTATACTCATTAGAGATATTCCTGATGCAAAGGAAAGTGGTTTATTTCACTTATGTGAATTCATAGAAGACTGTGAATTCACCTATTTGTCCACCCAGGTAACTATCAATCAATCACTCTTCAGGCATGTAATTTGGAAAATAGTTGTAAGATCGATTTAATTTCCTTTTTGTGAATATGTTATTTTTCTTTTGCTTCTGTACAATAGGCTGATCACATTGAAATAGTGACCGACGAACACATTTTATTTCTAATTATATATCTTCTGCTGTGAGCTGTCTATAGATGGTTATTTTCTGCTTCTGTAGATATGATGAGCTAATTGATTTGAAACCTGCAACTGAACTCATTTTGTATTTTCCTATGTTAACACTGACATTTATGATTATGGACTAGTAAAATATCTATTCATAAACTAGTTTAGTAAGTCAGCTGATTTCTTCATTGTAATCAAATTGCTTTTTAATCTTGTGGCAGATACTTCACTTTTTGGGAAATGAAGGCCCAAAAACATCAGATCCCAGTAAATACATACGTTATATATACAATAGGGTGATACTTGAAAATGCTACAGTTCGAGCTAGTGCAGTCAGCACATTGGCAAAGTTTGGTGCCTTGGTTGACTCACTCAAGGTACTTACGTGATTTTTTATACTTCAAATGATGTTCTTGCTGTGCAATGTGTTTCTGATCTGTCAAATGATGTTCTATTGCACTTGCAATGTTTTTATCCAGCCTCGCATATTCGTGCTCCTGAGACGCTGCCTGTTTGATGGGGATGATGAGGTTAGTGCGAAACTTTTCCCATGAAGATACGTCTATGCTCTGTTTTTTATGATTCAATAACCCTTTCCGCTGTGCGTCTTACTCATTTACTGTTTTGCTACCTCATTTTAATTGTAAAGCAAAAGTTATATTTAGATAAATGACCTTGCTTGATTCTTCTTTTTTCAGATAGAAATATTTCCTTGCTGATGTTTGATATGCTTACCTTGTAGGTGCGTGACAGAGCGACCCTTTACTTCAAATTGTTAGGTGGGGAAGCTACAGTTGGTGAGACAGAGAAGGATGTGAATGAATTTCTCTTTGGCTCACTTGATGTTCCACTAGTAAACTTGGAGACGAGCCTGCGGAATTATGTATGTCTTGGTCACTTGAATATAATTATGCTTTTGCTCTATTATCCTTGTATATCTTATGTTATCATTATTTGTTGACAGGAACCTTCGGATGTACCTTTTGATATTTCATCTGTTTCGAAGGAGACAAAATCCCAACCCCTTGCTGAGAAAAAGTCTACAGGCAAGAAATCAGCCGGTCCGGCATCTGCTGTCAGTGGTCCTGTTTCTACTGTTGATGCTTCTTATGAGAAGCTTCTTTCATCCATTCCGGAATTCGCTGATTTTGGAAAGCTATTTAAGGTTGGTATATATTATTTGTCCTTCTATAAAAGATGTGCATTATGGACCTGGCTGAATCTCATTGCATGTGTTGTAACTTTTTGTTCACTCTTCCAGTCATCCGCACCTGTAGAATTGACTGAAGCTGAGACTGAATACTCAGTAAATGTTGTGAAGCATATTTTTGATGGACACGTTGTGCTCCAATACAACTGTACCAATACAATTCCTGAACAATTGCTTGAACAGGTATGTAACTTCTTTCATATTTATAGGTTTATACATGCATATGTTGTGTTTTTATGATTCAGTGCCTTTAACTCCTCAATTCCACAGGTAGTTGTTTTCGTTGATGCTTCGGAGGCTGATGAATTTTTAGAAGTTGCTTCGAAGCCTTTAGAATCATTACCATATGATTCTCCTGGACGGACCTTTGTGGCTTTTGAAAAGCCAGAAGGTGTCATTGCCACCGGCAAGTTCTCAAATATCCTGAAATTCATTGTTAAGGAGGTGTGTGTTTTGCTTGCTCCTCCCCATTATCTTATATTTTTCTATGTGCATTTTGTGTGAGGTGAGGATAAGTGCCCATGAACAAATGGAAGGCATTCTTGACACCTTGGCTACTCCAGAAACCAGTGCTTCGTTTAGCTTGCGATGTGTATATGAAAAAGTTGTTCAGTTCCAGTTTTTGTTCCTTTTGGGAAAATGCTGATCCAGGCCTTCCCTGTGGGAAGAACCATTCTTACCGAACAAAGAAGGGAGGCCATGTATGAAAGCTTATCATAAAACGTAATAATTTAAATGGAACTATCTGGTTCTCCAGCCTAAGGTCCCTTGTAGTCATACCAGTAATCATGGTTGAACTTACTTTTTATCTGTAATCTTTGATTTGACATAAGATAGTGTTTTGTCTAAAATTTGGCTGATCTGTACCTAAAGTGTTCTGAACTGGAAATCAGATCTACCTTCTTTGTTGCTATATGCACTAGTATATTGAGCTTCAGGGTCCTTTTGAGTTTTCAGTGAAATTGTTAAATCTGTTACTTGGATGCCCTTGACTCCTTGCAAATGCACTAAACTGGGATCTACATCTGTGTTTGTACTCTTCTGAATAAGATCATCGTACGGCATATATACGCTTAATCGGTTCAGATAATTTGTGAAATGCTTTCCTGTCTTTCCATTTGAAGCGGTAAATGATAATTTGTTGATTTGACTCATTTGTTGTGTTTCAGGTTGACCCATCCACTGGTGAAGCTGAGGATGATGGTGTTGAGGATGAGTACCAGCTTGAAGATCTTGAAATCGTTTCTGCTGATTATATGTTGAAGGTGGGAGTATCTAACTTCCGAAATGCCTGGGAAAGCATGGATCCGGAGAGTGAGCGGGTTGACGAGTATGGGCTTGGAGTAAGGGAGAGCCTGGCTGAGGCTGTAAGTGCTGTTATAAGCATCCTCGGCATGCAGCCTTGCGAGGTCAGTCTCCTTTATCATTCTTTTTCCTATCAAATGAATGCCACTGTCATATATAATAATAAGTCGATTTGTAATAAATTTACTTAAAAAGTTATATAGCGTTTCTACCTCGTGGAGAGATTGCAGGATTTAGAGCTTTTTTTTTTAGAAATTTCCTAGGCCTGTACCAATTAGTAGTCCTGGTCATTAATAAGAAGTTGTATCTCCTTCCTTGATATTTGACAATTTTTTAATTCCTATAAAATCTAGCACTATTGATAGTTCAAGCAACCAACAGCTCAAAGGGTTATCACCGTGATTCGGAACCCTGGCTGTATTTATGCCCAATGCAGGAATTAGCTTTGCTTTTCACCTTAAAATGATGACTTGTTTCACCTTTGGTTTGTAGGGAACTGACGTGGTCCCAAGCAATTCAAGGTCGCACACTTGTCTGCTCTCTGGTGTGTTTATTGGTAACGTGAAAGTCTTGGTGAGACTGTCATTTGGAATCAGTGCACCGAAGGAGGTGGCCATGAAGCTAGCAGTTAGATCTGATGATCCAGAGATCAGTGACAAGATCCACGAAATTGTTGCTAATGGCTAAGAACACTTGTAGAATAGTTTTTTTTACTCCTTTTGTTTTGGCTTTCATGCTACGGGAAGCTTGAGGGGATTCAATTAATTCTAGTATATGTAAGCTTGGTTTCCAGTTGGATCCATCTTTTGTTGCACCACCATTCTTCCTCGACACAGTACAACAGTTTTTTTGGTTGATTTGGATCTGTACAATTTTCCTTATATACCGAGGAGATAATAGTGTATGCAATAAAATTCAAGTAAAGTTTTGTTGGTAAAATGAAGCATATTGCACATCACCAACAAAATCTTGTATTGACGAGGCAACTGCTTAAATTCGTGGCCTCATAAGGTGTGGCTTTCACCTATGCTTGGGTTCTATTTGGTTCAGTTGTGCGTTTAGAAAAGCTACCGTAGCTGTAAAAAGGTTGATCCGAGCTATGTGCCATGGAGAAGTTGTAAACTGTTGGTCTATGTTTTGTGAAAATAGATGTGGAACTTCTCTTTGTTTTCATCCATTATTTTCACCCATTTAATGAAAAAATAGTTGTGAAACATCTCTTTGCTTTTATCCATTTAGAAAAACTGAACCAAAAATACGATCCAAGGCCCTCTCTGTCTTCCTAGAAAATGGTTGTGAAACATCTCTTTGTTTTCACCTATTATTTTCACCCATTTGAGAAAGCCAAGAGCTAAAAATAGGGCCGATAGCTGCGAAATTTTACTATGCATTAAAAAGCAGCCTTTTGTTCCAGCATTTTCGTTGACATTCTGCCTTTTGGCAGAAGCACTTTCTAGCGCCTTGAACTAGAATAGTCAGTTTCAACTGTATGTAAACCGGTTCGGAGGTAGCAGAAATAGTCAGTTTTCAACTCTGTTCTTCGATATTGGATCGTTAAAAGTGGAGGTAGTTAAGGGGTCGGGTTGTGATGTTGATATAACTTGAAGGTTGAAGTGTGATCTGTCTCCATGTTACTCGATTATTAGATCAGCATTCAATGCTTCATCTGTTTCTTTATCTACCTGCGGATTGTCAATGCTCGAGAGATCTTGCCACACCGCCTGTGCGTCCGCGGTGGAGGGGTAGGGCCTCATTCGCAGCATCACTGCATCACCATTTGCCTGGCCTTTGCGGGCAATCGTGTCACTCGTTGTAACACCATGAAATTTTGCTTCTTTTCGAAATAGCTAAATTTGATTTATTTATGCAATTGTGTGAGCATTGGAATGTAGAGAAATAATATTTTTTTACTAAATTAAAATCAATCATAAGTTTAGATACATGCTGTTGCATCATGCCGCAGCATATTTGTTTCTGTATTGATTGGTTTTTAACTAAAACTCAAACTGAATTCAAAACCATTAAAATTAGCTTTGGAAAAATTCAGATTTTAGAAAATAAAAAGGCAAAAGTTTTTCTTCCTCCCTTCCCACCTTCTGGCCTGTCGGCCTGCTCCACACCCCGCAGGCCCAGCGCAGCGCCGCTGCCCACCTCGGCCTGCCGGCCCAGCCAAGTGGCAGCTGTGCCGCTCCGGCCCAATGCCGCGGCCCAGCCACTGGTGCACTCCCTCCCTTGCTCTCACTGCCGTACGGGGCCCGCACAACAGTGTCACCTTCTACCTCTTTTCCTGTGCTCGAGTCGAACCCGAGCCCGACGCTGCCGATCATCGTAACCCGCAACCGAGTCGATTTTTGGGCGTGTGTGCCACACCTGGGCGCCCTATAAAAGCCGCCGCCTTCCCCTTTCTCTCTCTTTTTCCCATATACGAGCATCCACCGCCTCCATCGTGCTTGCTGCGCCGCCGCAAGCCCTAGCTGCCGCAGCCGAGCACCGGGCCGCCGTTCCGCCCCTTCTCCGTCGTCATTGGTCTGCTGCCGAGCTTCTCGACGCGGTAGTGAACTTCCCCGCTCCGTTTTTCTCTCTTTCGCTCTCTGTTGCTTATGTGATGCCGCCGAGCCTTCGCAGGAGCCGCAGTCCGCTGAAACCGGGCCTCTCTCCGTCCTTGTCCCGTCTTCGACCGAGGATAAGCCCTAGGTGAGCTCGAATTCATCTCCACCTTCTCCCTGTGCTTTACCCATGTAGAATCGTGGCCCGTAGGCCGATTTCCGTGTTCGCCGGCGAGGTCCTCGCTGCCGGCAATGGTGGCCACCGCGCTGACCGTCGTCTCTGGCCAGCCCCCTCTCTCTTATACTCTCTCATTGAATTTCAGTTGTCCAGATCGAGTTCAACGGCTAAGATTAGAAGATACCCCTTCGCAGTCACTTTTGCTAAAGAGCCCTTCGGTTTCTTCACATTTGTGCCAGCTGGTTCAGTTCAAAATCCTGATTTTCATTTATTTTTAATTTGAATTAAGTTCGATTTAATTACAGTTCTGCCATCAGTAGCTTATAAATGTCATATCTTCAACGTTTTGAATCCGATTTCGGTGATTCTCGCGTCCGTGTGTTCGCAGCGACGTATAGAATAGTTTTAAACACTTTTCAACTTATTTTTCCACTGTTGGTGTACTGTTCTAATTGTAGCTCTTGTTTGTTTCGTGCATGATTGCGTGATGCTTGTATGTTGCTATGGTGTGATGATCGAGAATAGACGGTGAGCAGTTCAATGGTGATTAAGAGCAATATTTTGAAGAGCAGGACCAGCAGGGCTATTTTGAGCAAGGTAAGTATAGCATGGGACAATCTTTATTGTCCTATTCACATTAATCACATTTTAATCATATGCATGTTTCTATCTTAACTACCATTAAGGATATCCTAGCTTTGTACTTGTACCTTGTCATCTAAGGGTTTATGCATTGGGTAGTATGATGCTAGCATTTAATTAAAGATCATGATCTTATAACTTGACTAATGGTATATGCAATAAACAATAAAATTGTCGGTGTTTCGTACAAGCACCGGCAAGTGAATTTATAGTAATGCGCGTTAGGCTCGGATGGTGCGCTAAAGGACACAGGATTTATACTGGTTCGGGAGAAACGTCCCTACGTCCAGTTTGTTGCTGCTTGTGTTATTAGCACCGTAACGATCTCGTAGTAAGGGATACAAATCCGCCGAGAGAGGGACTGGTCCCAAGTCTCGATCGAAGGATTGAAAGGTGGTCAAGAGCTTCGTAGTCGCTTGAATGTGTGTGAGTGCGTTCTATTGTTTTGTCCTCCTTTTCTTCCCTCCTCCTTGATGGAAGAAGCGCATCCCCTTTATAGATGAAGGGCCGGCTTTACAAGGGTAAGGGCTCCGGGACGCGTATTCTACTTAGTCTTGTGGCTCACGCCTACTGGTCGTGTCCTCCACTGATGAGTGCGAAGGAAGATAAGTGTTTACAATGTTGTCGATGTCTCAGAGGATGTCGTGTTAGTCACGTAATCTTGCCTGCTGGCAGGTATGGGCTGCAGATGCTGGTTTTGACTTATGAGCCTCCCCACCTTTGCTCCGCACGCCTTCCTACGGTTCTCATGAGTCCTCGTTGGGAGAATGCGGGTCGGGTCCGGTAACGCCGTGGTCAAGGCCTTCCGACTGGGAGGACCTAAGGGGTCGGAAGCGGGCGCCAGCCCTGTCCACCGTGTGGTGACGGAATACCCATCGCTCGTGGAGATAGCAAATCCTTTCCCCGGAGCGTGCGGTTGTCGTATATCTTCGCTCGGGTTTCCGTGTCCCAGAGCAAGGCGCGGCGCCTACAACTCTGACAGGTGAGGTGCACGACTGTAATACCTTTTGGGCTCTCGGCCTGGGAAGGGTCTAAAGCTTCATCCTCGCTGCCTCGGCAGTCTTTTCTCGCCAGTATGCAGGTATGGTCGTTGGAGCCATGGTTGACCCGAACGTCTTGTCTCGTCCCCTGCACTCCATTATTATGAGGGATAGATATCGATCGTGGTGAGGCTGCTACGGTCATCGGGTGGGCTGACCGCCTCTCCGGCTCAAGCGAGACGGAATTCATCCCTCACCCTCGGGCGAGACCGAGCCCGCCTCAAGGCGTCCCAAGCGAGGCGGAGTTTATCCTCGGCCTTCTCGGGCGAGATCGAGCCCACCCTATAGGCGCTCGAGCGAGAGAGATTAGCCTTGAGCTTTTGGGGTGAGGCAGGGTTATCCTACAAAGTGTGTGGTGGTCGACCCGCCCCTCCCGGGGTTTCAAGGAGACAGACCATTCATCCCTCGGCCTCGGGCGAGACCGAGCCCGCCCTCAAGGCGTCAAGCGAGGCGGAACCAACTCACATTTCTAACAAGGGATGACATGGAGCCCTTATGCATCTAGAAGTTTTTCACGTTCGGTGGTCATCGGTTCCACCTTCCGGGGTACCACAGTATTAGGTCCCCGACAGTAGTTTCGAGACTCTGTGATTCGGGAACCACCTGGAGGGTGTTTTTGATTTTGTTGAAGCTAATTTGCCGAGAGGGTGGCCAGCGCACCCGGCGGGTGTAGTTCTGAGCCCTCGGGTGACTCGAGTAGAGTCGCCTGGGTTGTATCGGCCTTCTTCGGGTGTAAGGTGAAGGACTTAATTTTTCATCAATGGGTGTTTTTCCGAGGGGTCGTGGCGTCTGCTTCTTGGGGGGCTGATTCGGGCCATCCTCACTGGGTGCTTCGCCTTTGGTGGCGGATTGTTCATGGATTCCTTCTTAGTTGGACCGCCGGCGAGTTGCCGGGCCCTAGGTGGGCCAAAGAGAAAAGAAACGGCCTTTGTGGCTTGTGCTTCCCGATTGGGTGGAGAGTCCGATTCGCTTGGGGAAGGCTAACCGTCCGCCGAGATTTTTTTGGGATGAGAGGATAGGGATCACAGGTGTCCCGCGATGTGACGCGGTGGCGTGCGTGGCGTGACTCCGGAGATCGAGGCGGACGGTTGCCCTTCTCGCGTCCGTCAGCCTCCTATAAAACTGCTGGGTTCGCCCCTGTGGTCCTGTGTTTCCTCCCCTTTCTTTGCGTTCAAACATCCGCCGCCAATCTTCCCAACCTCTTAGCGCCAAGATCGCCACCGCCGGCCGACCTGCAAGGCTTGTGTTTGGCCGCCGTTAAGCTCGTGCTGCCTTTTCCCT